GATTAGTTTAATCTCTGCTATTGCTGTCATGATTTATCTTGTGTTCATTCGGATTAAATCTCGTAGTAATTTGCTCATATTTCCAACAGGTCGGGCCTGTCAGGCGGACGCGCCCGAGCCGTCCTATATCAGCTCTATATTTGAGCTGGATATGAGGGATGTCGGTCAGTCCGGATGTTTATCTGTGGTTTGAAAGGTTTGGCTGGGTCATTTTCTTATGACCGGTTGATGGATGACGGCCTGTCCGGGCGTTTGAGACGGGTATAAGAGGTCCGGTTGTAGATGATCTAAGAATTTACTTTTAAGGGATCGGTTAGAAGTGCCCTGAGACACAAAAGTAACATATCCCTCAGACAGAGCCTCGGCAAGCACCCCCACCGAATCCATCCATACTCTAATCTGCGGTACAAGGTTAACACCCACACGGGATAAGCAGGCCACGTGTGGCATCTGCTGATGAACGCAAATCTCTCCCCTCCCACAGCGCGCCGTACAAGTGGCTCCATCCGTCACCAGGCGGAGCAATTTTATACGCCGATTAGATATATGTTGGCGTTGGCCTTTCCACTCAGCGATGGGCCTCTCCTCCCTCGGGTCTTGACAGCAACGCGTTGGTTTACAATATCTCCCTCCGGCGCCATGACCCCGATCCCGATGAGCTGTCGCGCTTGAGTGGAACCCGTATCGGCCGGATGGGAGCATCGCTAACCACCCCCACGATTACGCGACAGGTGCCCGTGTACGTCCGCCCTCCTGGTGCCATGTACTACGACACACAAATTTTTGTTTCTTCTGATGATTTGATTGGGTTTTGGACTTCTGGTCATGGCTGGCGTACGTACGTCGTCAGATCAGCATGCACGGCGTGGCATATTCTTCTTAATTTCGGCCGTGACCTAGCTCAGCTAATGCATGCATGCAGCGGAGGGGAAACCAGCCCAAAACTTTGACGCAAGCAGGTACCTTTGACAGATTATTGCAAGAATTCTGGCAACAGATTAGCAGGGCAAGCTTTCATTAGCTCTTAGATTAGTGGGGTGCAGCCAAATAACCCTGGGATTTGGTTATTCTAGGATTCTCTGAATTTTTAATCGTCGCAGTACTGTCGAACAGTGGCATGTCATTGTGCAGCAACAGTCTTTCTTTTGTCCGGAGAGAGGCCCACGCAACAGTCCGAGGACGAAAGAAAGAGACCCTATACGTCGCCAGAAAAGAAAACCAACCCAACTTGACGCGTCAGCTGAGTGTTCAAGCGTTTCTCAAATAAATAAACAAATTAATAAAACGTAAGTGTCCAAGCAAACAGCGAGTACGTACAAATTAGTTACTGCCAGTAACTTTTGATGTCAGTGATCACATTGAAGTGATATACTAGTAAGTATAAACAAATGCAAGCCCTTTTTGATTTGGAGGAAACAGCACGGTTCATAGATGCCTCTTGTCGACTAGAAATGGAATTGTTACCACGTAAAAAACGTTGCTCTCAAGTGTCAAAGAAGGGAAATTTACTGACTAAATTAACCCCAGTCACTTCTACCTCGGATGAGCCAAGGATTGGTAATAAGTGGGCTCTGTCATTTTCCTGCGTCCTCTATCGACCTTTTTTTTTTTGCTAACGTCGTCTTCCTAATGTACGGAGCTGCTAGAACTGTTTTCCTCCTTCCAAAAATGCCAAGAGGCAAACACATAAACATGACAGATTTCTGTAACTACGTACATTATCTCCAAATTCTTTGCAGATTCTTTTTGTCAAAACCCAAATGGGATTTATTTTTTCCATTGAAGCATGACTAGATTGTACAGTATTACACTTTTCATCAGCCGCATCTGGCTCTCACGACTCCTATGTGATCTAGGGTTTTTATGTTGCTACCCCCTTCGCCACTGACCCACTGTTAGATCACCGTCTTCTTCCTCTTCCCCGCTTTGTAGGTTCCTTCGGTGAGAGTATGCGGGAAGGGCCCGATCCACCCTCGGGAGCGGCCAATTCTGCGCCGAGACATGGGCGTCACCTGAAGGCCGTGATTGTATTCTTAGGTGGGAAGACATCTCACCAATCTACTAGTGTCGTTTGGCCAGGGCACGGAGTACTGATGGGGGCGACTATCGAAAGATACTTCATCAAGATACTAATCGGAACACTGCTTCATATCTGGCATGAAAACTCTTTTCTCGGTCTTTACCGGTCAGGCTCAACATCAACGAACTTGTGTCGTTACCTTGTTGAATGCGTTATGTAATTGTTGTTGTGCTGGTCTTAATTGGCTGGTATCGGTAATTAGGATGCAAATCCTTGTTCATGCCTTCTCTTGTTGGACATGGAGACGATGCCGCGAGGATCTTAATCCCTTCTTGAAGGTTTTGCCGCGGAAGAAGTCAACTTAGTCATAGGTGTCAATTTCATATCTTGTAAGGGTTTGGTCGTGGTTGTCTTTGTTCTACACTCTACGTAATAATTAATTAATTAAAAAGGTTGTGTGCATCGTAATGATGTAGAGGCCGGGATTCTAACCACCTTTTCAAAGAAATGTACATGTGGGAGCTACACTTAACCTATCTAGGGGCATTGTGTAGGTCATAGCTAGTTTGTCCGCCGCTTTGGTTCTTCTAGCGGTGATGACAGTTGTGTTCAATAAGTGTTCATGCGGCTTCTTCTTGGCCACAACGGTGTGTGCATCATTGGATCCAATGAGGATATTGGGTGGAGATCTTCGTTGTCCATCATTTTATACCTTTAGGCATTGGTGATGGCAGTTTTCAATGATGTCTCATCTGGCTTCATTTCTGGTTTCAGCGGTGCATCATCTACAACGACGAGATCGGGTGGACATGTTTATGTTTTCATCCATGGAAGTAGGGAGTTGCTTGTGTCTTTATGAAGCCGTCTACAATGACATCGCCGATTTGGGTTTTCCATCAGCTAGGAGGACCTTAATCGCTGATTTGGTTGATATCTGCAATTAGGGTGAAAATGCTTGTTCTTGCCTTCTCTGGTTGGACATGGCAATGACGGCGCGAGGACCTTAATCCTTTCTTGAAGGCGTTGCTGCGGAAGAAGTCGACTTAGTCGCTGGTGTCAATTTCATATCTTGTAATGATTCGGTCATGGTTGTTTTTGTTCTACACTATGCATAATAATTAATAGAAATGGTTGTGTGCATGTAATGGTGTAGAGGCCGGGGTTCTCACCACCTTTTCAAAAAAAAGTCTACTCGTGGGAGCGAAGTTAACCTGTCTTGGGGCATTATGTAGGTCATCGTTTATCCGCCGCTTCGGTTCTTTTAACAGTGATGACGACTATGTTCAATAATGGTTCCTACAGCTTCTTGGACACAGCGATGTGTGCATTGTTGGATCCAATGAGGAGATTGGGCGGAGATCTTCCCTGTCCGTCGCTTTAACCCTTTAGGCACCGGCGATGCCAGTGCTCAATAAGGTCTCATATGGCTTCGTTTCTGGTTTCAGCGGTGCTGTACCATCCGTTATAGTGACGAGATAGGGTGGACAGTTTATCTTTTCATCCGCGGAAGCAGGGAGTTGCTCGTGTCTTCATGAAGCCGGCTACAACTACATCGCAGATTTCGGTTTTCTGTTGGCTAGGGCGGGCGTTTAGGTGTGATTGACCCAGTATCACATTCTTCTCCGGGCCATGATCCTTCGGGATCGATGTCCCGACATTTGCTGTCAGAGCCGTTGAGTTCTTGTCTACCCGCGGGACACTACTGTTTTGTTCTCGCGTCAGTGTAGAATTATAGCGCCAGCAACATCGGAGCCTCATTAGCATGTGCGAGAGGGGAGGATAGATGACTCCCTTAGGACTGGATTGTAATTTCTTTTTAGGGGTTTTCTTATAATGCAGGTATTTGACTAATATACACTTGGGTCCTTTTATAAAGAAAAAAAAGGCAAGGAAAACATTATTGTGTGACGTTCGCTGAAAAGCATGGCAAATCAAATGTTTTTTATGGTAATTTATGTTGTCATTAGAATAGCAAATTCCTTTAGCAAGAACAACAATCCTGGTAAAAAAAAAACTGAACTCCATGGATTTTTCATGCTTGCTAAAGAAAATTTCCATTGTCACGACAACATTATTTGCCCCCAAAAACGTGTGTTTTGCCATGTTCTCCCAGCGATCGTTCATTGGTTATCAAAATCCAGGCTACAGTACGCCACAGATCGACCTCCCTTTTGATATATTTTTTTGGCTGATCTAAACGGCGCGTCTCTTGCCATGCATTCGCCTGAAATTAACAATGGCCGGATGCACGTTCTGTGATCTGTGCCACCCTGGCCTGGCCTGTACTACCCCGTACCGCAGTGCTGTACTGGTCACTAGCTAGTGATGAGTGTGTTGTTCGATTCCCCTTCTCCTTCTCCTGCTCGTGAAAGAATCTTGATCGATCGATCCAGCAGCCTGGACCTCTCTAGCTTTCCCCCACATGCTTCTCCTCAATCTAGCTCGCTACATATTCCAGTCAGCCATGATCTCGCAATCATTGTGTTGCGTCCCGAGGAACTAATTGATCATGCACAGCAAGAGAAGAGAGAAAGCTTATTAACTGGCCACCATGCATGATGAACAGCCATGCATGTATATTTGCCTGGCTAGTCGCATGCACTTGCATCTGAAGATCGATCTCTATAAGTTTGGTTTTGTGAGTAGTTTCGACGGATTACACGGTGTGGCGGGTAATTGACAAGAGCAAGTAATTGAAGAAGAGGACGAGGGTGAAGAAAAATGGCGTGCTGACTGACTGCTGATTGAGAAGGAGGAGACTGCCTGGCCTGGCCTGGACTGGACAGACCTGGGTTTCGAGCTATGTACACTACACACTGACACCGTACCACCATCGGTTGCATATGATCGATCGATCGCGTCGTCTTCTCCACGGATTTGATTGATCGGCGGTAGTGCTCTGTGTTACGAGCACTGATCTTGTTGCATGGCCGATCACGTCGGCGATTCCTTGTATGGTGCTTGAGTGCTTGACCGACCACTACTCGCTCGGGGACTCGAACTCCCACCATTGGGAGCTGCTGCAGGTCTGCTCCGCCGCGGACGACGGCCAGCTCGAGTGGAACGGGAACGACGACGGCGATTGCTGCTGGTACTCGGCCGGCCCCGACGCCGTGAAGCCGCCGTCGTGCGCGGTTGGCAGCTGCAGCGAGGGCCGGAGGAAGAGGCCCGCGTCGTCGTCCTCCTCGCCGAAGAGCGAGAGCTTGCCGCTGCCGCCGCAGCCCTCGGACGCCGAGTAGAGCTTGCTGGCCCCGCCGGCGTCCACGAACTCGTCCTTCATGCTCATGCCGGCCACGGCCAGGCGCTCGTCGTCCCTGGCGGCCGCGCCGGCATTATCTCCGCACTTGGCCCCGCCCGGCTCCCGCAGCATCTCCGCCAGCTTCTCCAGCTGCACGGAACCCGTCGACCGCGCATTAGCCACAGGCACCACCAGCACACGGCGCACGCCGCCACCGGCCGGAGAGCACGGCGAAACTAACACCTGGTACGTAGTAGAGTAGAGACATACCTGGTTGAGGAGCGCTTGCTTGTCCTTCTTGAGCTGGTCGTAGCTGGAGAGGAGCGCGTCGTAGTCGTCGCGGAGCGCGGCGTACTGGCGCTCGAGCTGCTTGGACTTCCAGCGCGCGCGCTTGTTCTGGAACCAGATGGCGACCTGGCGCGGCTGCAGGCCGAGCTCCCGGGCCAGCTGCAGCTTCTGCCGGGGCTCCAGCTTTGTCTGCGTGGCGAACATGGACTCGAGCGACTTGATCTGCTCCTCGCTGAAGCGCTTCTTCCGGTCGATCATCGCCCCGCCCTTCTTCCCCGCCGCCGGCTCCACCATCCAGTCCCCGTCCTCCTCCCCCTGCTCCATCGCCCCCTACCTCCCTAGCTAGGTCTCGCCGGCCACCTGAGCGCGCGCGCGGTCATGCACCTGATCTGGAGGGGCAAGGGGAAGAGGAGGAGCTAATGGAGGACGACGGATCGCAGGTGTGCGAGAGCGAGCTGGGAGGCTAGCTTGCTGTGATCGATCGATTCTGCTTACTACTAGCGATGGACTAGTTTAATCGGAGGATGGGGCGATGGGCGCGGTGATGGCAACGGGGCGGCCAATGGAGCGCGGTGGCGTGCATGCGTAGCCGGGTCTCTCCTCTCCTCTCTCTCTATAGCAATAGCTGTAGCTGTAGGTGCAGCTAGGCGATGGATGGAGCCCGATCGGGTGCGCGGCCCCGCACGCCCCGGCCGGCGTCGCTGTCGCTGGGCCGGGCGGGGGGAGGACTTGGGAGCGCACCTAGCCTGCTTAGGCTGAGCTGCTCCTCCTGACATGATCCCTCCCTGGCGTGTGTTAGTAAGCTGGCGGCCACGTACGCCGCACGGCGCGTACGTGCCACGTCGAGCGAGCAGAGCGCGCACGGTTGGTGCTCTGGAGTGGCGTCGCGTTTTTTGAGTTGCGTGCGCGGGGCGTGTTGGTTAGCTGGGACTCGGGGAATCGCGCGGTGGCGGGACGTGTCGGATCGGCGGTGGCGTCGCGTCGCCGTGACGGGCCACGCACCTGCCCTGCTAGGCTCCGTACGCTGCCGCCAGGGCCTCGGAGGCAGTGGTACGGCGACGGCCGGGGCTGGGCGTGGTACGACGCACGACGCACGGAGTCACCGTGCACTGCACCTGCGCGTGGTGATCTCGGCGCCCCGCCCGCTGCTGCCGGTTCTGTATGTGCGGCTCGTGTCCCGTACGTGTGGGGACTGGAGAACGCGCGCGCGGCATCGACACCGGAGCGCGCGCGGGTGCCTTGGGTACTGCCGCTTCTATTTACATCAAATCTTGCCCTCGATCTTTTGACCTTAGTGCAGTGTCTGGACGCTCGCAGTGATCATCGGTACTTTTTTTTTTGCGCGAATCGTGATCATCGGCACTCTTTCAGACTAGATTGCCTTATTCCTCCACATCAACTTCATCAACTCCTGAACGGCACTAAGAGCACCTCGAACGCCGTGCCGTAAAACGGACGCTCTATCTGTGCGTGGACACAGATACGAGATATCTGTGCGTGGACACAGATACGAGAGTCGGTAATCCAACATCATGTCTAGAACATCCGTCCAGGTTTGACCTGCCCCCGCATCGTCCTCCTGGGCGACTCGGATGGCGACTAGGGTTCCTCCCGCGCCGCCACTCCCTTTTCCCCGTTCTCCCTCGCCGCCACCTGAGGGTCTCGCCCGGATATTGCCCGCGGACGCCGGGGAAGGTGCCGGCAAGGCCTCTGACACTTCGTCCATGGCGGAGGACTTCGGATCTGGGGCGGCGGCCCTGTTTGGCGAGGCAGCGTCGTCCTCTCGGCTGGTGCCGGCTGCGGGTGATTCTGGCTGGATTGCTCGACCACGCGGGTGGTGAGCCGCCGGCGGGGGCTGGTTGCGGCGCGGAGTTTTCCCCTCCTCACCGGATCTGAGGTTTGGCTCCCTCCTCCTTGACTCCCTCTGGCCGTCCCCTGCTGCTTGCGTCTTGTGCGCCGGATCTGGAGATGATGTGTGCTCGGTGGTGAGGCTTGGGACTACGGGAAACCGTTTGGTTGGCTTGTCCGGCCCGGCGGCAGCGACGCCTTTGGCGCCGTTCTTCCTTCCTGGAGGTGCCGCCGAGGTCCTCCCCTCTCCACCCTCGTTCCCCCTTCCGGGTGAAAGCCCAAAATCCGGCTAGGATTGGGCGGCAACGGCGCGTTTCGTGTCGTGCTCCTCCTTGGAGGTGCCGCCTGGGGAGGGCTCGTGTTCGGGTGAGGTGTATCAAAGGTCCAAGCTTTGGGCGGCTCTGGTTGTCTGGTGGCGGCGGTTTCGTCGGGATTTGCTTGGCCGACATTGTCCCCGTTCCCCTCAAGGGTGGTGCCCACTGGGTGTGGCGTGTTTGGCTCAAGGCTGGCGGTACGGCGCCTTCGATCCGGCGGTAGGGGATAGGGTTCCCCTTCCCAGCATTAGCAACACGGCCCCGGCGGTGGGCTCCCGGTGCTCTTCTTCAACGACCGACGGGTCTTACTCCTCGACGTTATGTGGTCTTCCTTGATGTCCTTGCCGCCCTTCTTCAGCAGCTGCTCCCGGTGGCTTTCCGGCAGTCTACTGGTGTCCTTGGTTGCGGCGGTATAGTGGATGTTGTGTGCTCATTGTCCATGGTGGAGTGCTCTGCGGTTGCTCCTGGCTCCGAGGTTGCCATCGCTTCTGCTCTAGGGTGAGCGCTTCTCAGGTCCGCTGGTTTGATGCCTTTCGATCCAAGGTGAGAGGGAAGGGTCCCTCTGCGGCGCGAGAGGAGGAAGACGCCTGGTTTTCTTCATCCTGCGAGTCAGCCTAGTTCATGCCCACACTCTGTTCTAGCAGGTCTTCATCCTGCTCTGCCAGTCGCTACCTTTGTTATCAGTTTTGCTGCTGTCTTCGGCTTGTACAAGCTATGGGCTCGGTTGTATTTTCCTTTCGTGCTTGTGCGCTGCGTTGAGTTGTCAGCTTCCTAGAGTGCTCCCTTGTATCGTTGGGCCGATGTGGTTTGGTGTATGTTTGTAATTCCTGGCCGGTTGATGGCTTTGTTAATTTAAAGTCGGGCTCTTCGCGAGCCTTAGTTCTAAAAGAAAAACATCCGTCCAGGCCTGGCCATATTCGTACATAAATAGTATAAATGTTGATTAATAGCAATTTGATGAGGTGCATACATATGCAATCTTCATGACAAAAAAAGGTGGATGTTCAGAAGCTAAGCGCCCCATCACAAAAGTGCTAGTCCAGTGCTCCGTGCAAATTTTGTCCTCCTAGACCTGTTGTTCATGACTCCCTCCTTCACCACTCTGCCGCCGGCTCCTTCATCTCTGCCGTCAAGCGCTTCAACATCTTTGCATTGACCGCTTGCATGATCCTCGTTGCATCGGGATTCAACTCATCTATCTTCATAGTCAACATTTTGGTTTCCCCTGAAGCGGCCGCGAGCTCAACCTTCTTTCTTCGCTCTTGGTCTTCTTCTTTTTAAGCTTGGCCCTCTTTCACTTCAAGGTTGATCTTCTTTTCCGCCCCTCCAAGATGCCAAACCTCTTCTCCTTCTGTTTCTCGTTGAGGTCATGGCGCTTGGCACATGCCTCCTCCTTCTAGTTCATGATGCCCTCGAACTTCTCTCTCATCTTGGTCGT